TTAAGTATTCACGTAAATACTGTCTAATGACTCAAGTTTAAACTGCATGACCGTTTCTATATTTTTAATAAAACTAATTTCTTCTAATTTTAAATAGATTTTCCCCTGAATTTGTGACAGTTTGTTATCACGCATAGACCTGTGCTAAATGCGTGACAAATTTATGATCACCCATGTGTTTCTGCAAAATGCGTGTTTCAACCAAAATCACTTTGAAATGGGGGACCGTCCCGCACGATGCGAGACAATTGATAACTATGTTTGTATTCTCTCCAACTTTTATTGGCCCCCAGGTCGGCTTGACCCCTCCTCCCCTTGAATTCACCACGGGTCTATAACACCTCAGCCCCACCATGGTTGAAAATCTATGATTATGGTACCTCTAAGTGGCCGGAAATAGCACTCGCAGATTTAATTAAACAATAGAAAATTCTAATGAAACCTATAGAAAGAGAGATGAGTTTTGTACTTGGCGCGTTATTGTCACGAAAGCGGCAGGGAAAAACATTCAAATTCCTCATCAAAAAGCTTATAAATACAGTTAAGTCCTTGCTTGTACGACACATTAGTGGCAGTCCTGTTGGAAACTACTCTGATTGGTCAAGGAGTTTTGGTGGATGGATTTCTGGATCGTTTGAGAGTGTGTCTTGAATTTTCTACCCCTGAAAATGTGGACCTTTGGTGATTTGAGAGAGGTGACGCACTTACCGCACTCCCTCCCCCCATGTGTACTGTTAAAATGGCATTTATCAACCTGCAGATTGATCTGAAGGTGTCATGGAATACAAAACAACCGGAAAATGGTGGAGTCAAAAATATCGTCCGAAGAAAAAGTACGGTATAAGCTACAGCTCATGGTTTTTTACCAAAATTGGCAAATTTATAACCGTTTTCCCAGATTCGGCAATATGGGCCTAATTGAGTATCATCGTATTTATCATTATTTAAGCTTAAAAATAGGCTTTAAGTGGCATTTATCAACTACAGAGGATTTTGTGATAATAGGCCTAATAGTTTCAGTGAAATCGAAGTCCAAAAAGAATTTTGAATCAAGCAAAATTAATTCGTATTTGGATGTTGGTTTTTGTGTTTTCATAGCGGCGTGGAAAGGAACTGGCCACCCTACAACCAGTGGCGGCGCAAGCTAAGGTGGGGGGGGGCAGCAGGGGCTTAAACCCCACCGGACAGGTCAAAAATTCGGACAGAGCTTGTCGGGCAGTCGGACTAAAAAAATATTTAAATAGTTTTACGCCAAGCCAACACGTCTGTCAGAATCGGAGAGTGTCATTTCTGGCCATCCAGAGGTTACTATTCTTTTAAAAAAATTCGTTTGGGAGGGGGAACACCCTCTCAAAATATTTCCCCAGTCTCGGGCCTACGAGCTCAAGTCCCCCTGTCGGACAGCTCAGCCCCCTCCCCCACAAAAAAAATATATCCTAGAGCCGCCACTGCCTACAACGCAATACCATTGCTTAGTACAATGGGCTAACAGCTCATTCCCCTACTTTACTCTTCTTTCTGTATTGCGGGTGATCATAGTCTTCTAAAGGTCTATTTCGACATACCCTTAACCACTGTAAACTTCTGTCCCCAAGTAGCAATGGGTCAGGTAGGGAAAAAGATCACTCCTATATTCTCTTGACGCAAACTCACATCTTAATAGCACTTGCAGTACCCGCTCGCTGCTACGTAGGGATCGGATTCAAAACATCACTCCTGTAAATTACTACGCTGTTGTAAGAAAATAATCACAAGTCATTTTTTGGTATTTCTATTTAACTTTTAATTCTCATTTTTTTTTGTTAATACCACAGTTTTAGTTTTGAATGACAAATGTTTTGCATACCAATGGCTTAATTTTTATTTTGGAAAGTTCAGAACAATACCGTAAATTTTGACAAGACAAACCTTATTGTGGAAAACATGCTAAAACCACACCAGAATATTTAAAATCATTGAAAGTTAGTTCGGACATAGGTTGTCTCTGCTAGGAAATTAGGGGGAGGGCTTCCATGCAGCCACCAACCGCAAAGGTTTTGAGAACATACCTCCTGTCAAATTTCCTGTCAAATTATGTAATTTTTTTTTTTTTTTTTTTTTGCATAAAATGGGTCCACTATTTGAAAAATTGGTCCAGATTTCTCATATTTAGCTTAAAATGTTCATATTTTTGCGTAAAATGGGTCCACATTGCTTTCAATTGTGGAGAATAATCTTTGTCTCAATTATGAATCATGTTGACTTTAAGGCCTATTTAATGTCAGGCTCTCGAGGAAAGAAAGTTTTTGATATGTTGTAGAACTGATTTTTCTAAAACAGAAAACGGTGAATGAGATACAGATTTTATACATGATATATAATATAGTCACAGTTTGCTGTGCCGACGAATTCAAAATGCTCAAGAGATCAGTGTATGTGGATTTTTCCAAGATGTTCATTAAGACAAACAATAAATTACGTTTTCGGTCATTGACCAAGTTGATACTGGTCAGTGACCGAAAGTGTCCGTTACTTTTAATGAACTTCACAGCAAAATACAGTCATCAAATGATGTCGGAAGTTATAATCGTATTATTAATATGTGTTTATCTATTAACCTAATTTATATATATATAATATA